GACCGCTGCCGGCCACACGTCAGTGGCCCGCAGGCGGCATGTCTGCACAGCCCCGTCCCAAGCCCCGGCACAGAGAGACCCTCGACCCTCCGGCAGCGGAGAAGGGCACAGCAAGCACGCTGCTACTTTGGACCATTGTCTTGCAGGGCCTTCTGATTTTTGTCTACGGCCAATTTGTCTCAAGGACTCCCCTTCGCCCTCACAGATTTCTCAACTAGATCTCTGATACCTGCAGAACTGTGGTGGCAAAACGGACTGAAAATAATGTCCTACCCGCCTACTGCTGCGGTCCCAAGCCTTTGCTGAGCAGCCTTTTCTTTTTAATCCCCATAGGATGCAAGGGGTCTTGCAGACGCTCTTGGGTTGGGGACTGCTAACACACCTTTACACGGCTCTTGCTTCCACACCGTGGATGGGAAAGCGAAGCAGCGCGTGACGCAGTGCCTTACCCGCGGTCAGACAGGAGAGCCTTGTAAAGCGAGAGCTGAACGCTATTCACCAAGCAAGTTCCCTAGCCGCCCGGCAGGCCGTCTCCTCCACCGTCCCTTAATGCTTTCCGGGGACACTCCTCGTTATTTATGGTTTGTCATACTCCACTCATAAATACGCCTGCTACATTCGCTCTGCAACCCAAGCAGGCAAAAATTGCAGTGTTTCAGTCTCTGAAAGTGCTACCTGATTAAAACATATTAAAAAAAGAGTGATATAAAACTGCCTGTTGCACACAGAATCGAATAAAATTAGTTCAGCTCAGCCTCCTTCATCTTTCCTTATTGCAGACTCAGGTAACAAGGTCATTCACAATATAAATATTTAGTTTTAGGTGTATGTGAAAGCAAGTCATTAAGCCTTATAGGTTATGTAGAGCACTAGGAGAGCTCTGCTCAACACAGAGGGTGTGTGCTGTGGCACAGGTTCTGGCATACCCGTAACCACTACTTACACAACCCAGTGTGCTACGCGCTTTATCAAACAACTAAAACAGCAGCCTTCCACCAAGGGATATGTCATGATGAGTGAAAAGTATGAGCACAAATACTAGTAGGGGAAAGAAATGTAGACAGCCAGGAGCTAGGTTTCTGAACAACCCAATACCGCCGTGTGTCTCTGCGCCTGAGCAGTCCCAACTTGCATTCCATCTGTTCAACAGCTCTGGAGGGTCTAAACCACCCCTCCCCATGTGGCATAAAGCTGGATTCTGACAATCCAAATCTTGGAATTTTTCTGAGGTGGAGGCTGTTTACTTGTGTTTTATATTGCTGGAAAATTATCATGATTATAAGTTGTTGTGATGCTAAACTACAAATAAATCTCTGTTAGAAAAGCCAGATGTAGAAACACTAGTCTTCATTAGTTTCATCCAGAGAAATGCATCTTCCTGGAGTAACCCTACTCTTTACCTGAACCCCACTGACCAGGGCTAAGCCCACTTGCTCTGTACTGTTGGGTGTAACAGGTCCCACATCACTTACCAATCACAGATGGGGAGAGGTAAGGTCCTGGCAACAGCTGAGCCTCTTTCTCCTATTTGCTTTGCCCAGGGACCTCTGGAGAAATCTCCGTTACTGGAGAGCCCGCAGCCCAACGGTGGTGAGTGTTGAGCACTTCATGTTTGGGTCAGATTCAGTCATCTTCGGTGGTTCCTCAGAAAAAAACACCAGACTGTGGACCTCAGATGGGAAGTTTGTGGGAACTTTTGGTGAGGAAAAGAGATGGGACTTGAAGAACCCTTCAGCGTTCACCCATGCTGGGTAAGTACCCAACCTTTTACATTCTGCTTAAAGTTACCTCTGAGACAAATGCTGTGTACAACCGTCCTTCTGCCTGTGGTCATCAGCCTCGTCTGAAATCACTGTTGACCCTACTCTGAGCAAAAGGAAGGACTGGAGATCTCCTGAGGTCCCTGCCAGTGTGTGTTATTCTGTAGTTTAATAAAGTAGCTCAGGTACTGGTGGCTGTGCAGCCACAACAGCACAACACGAGACGAACAACGCAGCTCCTCCAGGAGGGCTGATAGTCCATGCTGAGCTCCTTTTAGACTTATGTGGCCTGTGGCCTCATTTGGAGCTGGCTAGGGTGGCTCCACAAGATAGCCAAAAGTCTTCCCCTTCCCCTTCCAATGGGCACTGGCACAGAGGGTGAAGGGAGGTTTCTCCTCTGTTAGTGCACATCCAGCCACAGTCCTCCTCCTTCCCTGCTTACATGCTCAAGAGTCATAGTCAGCCATACAGGACTGCTGAGGGCCCAGGACAGCCACCAAGGGTTAACATGCAAAATCTCCTGTATAAAACAAGCTATTTAATGAGCATCTCTCCCACAGGTAATGACCAGTAAAGAGAATATGCTCTCCTATGGTAATGCTTGTAACGTAATAGCCCACTGAGGAGAGAGCTGGTAGGTGAAGTGAGAAAAATCCTCTCTCCTCAGCTGGATCACAGTTTCAGCCAAGCTCATCTGCATTAATCTTACACTCATTAAAATCAGTTGTTGTGTCTCTAATGCAACCAGCGCTGCCAAGCTCACAAATTAAAAATTCATGAGCCAGTGTCCCTAAAAAAAAAAAAAACCCACTGTAAGATCATCTTAAACAGCATAGATTTTTAAAATCATAAAACGTCTAGCTGTTCCTTTGTGCTTGAAGCTTTCAGTTTGCATTTTCATAAGGGACAGGAAAATGGAGATTTTTTTTTTCTTTTCTTTTTTTTTTTTTAAACCCAAGCTTGTGACTCCGGAGGCTGGTGTTTCCAGGAGGTAGCCTCACAAATTGCACCATTTATGATAAAAAACAATGGAGTAAGCAACACAGCCTGTTTGGGAGCACGCTCACTTGGCTCCTTTCATGCTGCCTCAAAAGCAGTGCCATTGCTAAAGCGCCTGGCAAATAGTCCACTATCCTGACTCCAGGGCACACTGTCCCCTGGGTTTTAGTGAAGTTAGTGGTCTAGAAACACTCCACAGTATTTTTCCAGCCTTGCTCCAGGCTGGAATGGCTCTTGGCTGGCTGCTGGCCCCTCTGGAGCTATTAGAGCAGAATTAGACCCCTAGTAGAGACACAGAGCATGAGGTCCAGCATCGACCCAGCCAAGGCAGCACTGAGCAATGGGCTGGGCTGTGGGAAAAGCTAAGGCAGGGCATTGCAACAGGTCATGCTTTGGTTGCCCTCCAGGATCCCAAGTAACTCTCATGACACCTCTGTGCCCCTTGCTCACCTTGTCTAGATTCCCAAGACCCATGCAGTTATTTTTGCCCCGAAGCCCACAATGGGCAACAAGGACTTTCGTCTCCAGTGAGTTCTCCACGAGTTAACCCTTTAAAAAGTGTGCTTGTGCATGCAGAGCAGCATCCAGGAGGAAGAGGCAAGTTAACAGTAAAAGTAAATAACTACTTTTTAATTGTTTAAGTGTGAGCGACAAACTAGACATGATTTCTAAAATGCTCCTAATTAAGGTCACTGATGACAATAGCTAGAGAGCTGAGACAAAGACAATAAACACCATTTATTTGAAGCAGATGGGAACTCTGAAAGGGCTGTCCAATATTTTGAAAACGATCTGGGATTTTTGTCAATAGCCAGAACTGTAAACAATGTTTCACAGAGTGCCAGAGACCTCCCAGTCCGTGAAAGGTCTCCAATTGCCTTAGCTGGCTGAGGTCGGAGCAATTATGCTATGCTGTCTGTGTCTCTTTTCACAAATGCTGTTGTTTTCTCTCAGAAAAAGGCACCATGTTTACAGAGTAAAGTTAAAGTATGAAAAATACCAAGCCATACCAGTGCAAAACCAACCCTGTGAAAAGGTTAGGTTTAGCTCCTCCAGAGCCAAGCAGAATTTGTTTCCTGAAGCAGCAGGAAGATAAAAAAAAAAAAAAAGATCAGTTGTTAGTGAGCATTACCTAACGTAACTACAATTACTTTTAGAAGGCATTTATTTCCTTCATGGTTTGGATAAATATCCGTTTCCTTTTGAGGTTATGAATCAAATATTAACTAACCTGCTGGAAAAAAAACCTACAGATATTAATGTTTTACAAAGAATCTGCCAGCTGAAGGAAAAAAGAGGAAGACGGTTAATTGGCAATTTTCAAAAAAGGCCTTATTCTGTTTGAAAGGAGCAATGAGCAAAGAATATACCCACTGGATATACTTACAAGGAATGTCAGTCTGTGGTTTGGTAGCAGGAAAAGGAAACTGTGATCTTAGCCTGTCTCTAGAACTTCAGTGTGGAGAAGAGCTTTGAGTTAAAAATTAATCAGTGTTTTTCAGCTGGCAGCTATGGCACTCACACCTTTTATAACTATCACCTCTGATCAGGGCAGAATCATCTGGTGTCTGAACAAAGGCCTCTGCAAATGTAGAAACATTCTCCCCAGGAAACCGGCACACACCCTGGCAGAGCTACTGGTAGAATGAAGCAGTTATTTCTTCTACAGACACTGATGCAGCAACTGTTTTTTCTTCTGCGTTCCCTCTCAGATGTTAAAACTACAAGCCAGATGCTTCTTTTAGCACAAGCAATAAAAAATCCAAGGCGACCTTCAGGAAATTGGCAGAATAGCCAGAAGATGCTCTGGCTATCACATACTCACATAAATG